CGAAAATTAAACTGTTATACTAAACAAGAACAGAGTCCAAAAACACATTACAAACGTAGTATCAGAAGACATGCCAGAAATATTAACCGCAGAAATTAAGTACGCACTTCAACAAATGAAAAATGAGAAGTGTTGAAAATGGGCTCAAAGCATTGCATCTACATGATCTCTATCTTTTCATGATATTTTAACGACTTTTTCATGGCACTATGAAAGCCCATCATCAATAAGGTGAAAAATTAATCAGATCAATAAATCGTCCCACTTAAATGAAATTTGGTATGTCGATAGATTGAACCAAGGCCAACTTGATCGTGCAGACACCTGTCACTGTGACTGTTAGTTATGACGTAAGAAACGTCAAAAGTTGATATCGTCCGATCGCTACCAAATTTGGTGGGTAGGCTTTAGGTAGGCTATGTGAGCGACAGTGCAGACGGTCCCACTCTACAAAAAATTAAAAAAAAAAATGGGGTGGATCACTCTTATAATCAGATCTAATGAATATACATATAAAATTTCATCAAAATCGATCAAGCCGTTTCGGAGAAGTACAGTAACTAAAACCGTGACACAAGAATTTTATACAGGGTGGTCCGAACTGTATTCCGGAAACTTCGGCAGCATATTCTGCAGATAAAAATAAGTAAAAAAGAACGATATTTGTCTAGGAGTTTTTTACATGAAAAATTTGATTTTAATGTCAATATGACTCCTACTTGTAGAGGGCGCCACCTACATTTTTTTTAACTGGTTTGAAGAGTAATAACTTTTCGCCCGTACCTGTATAAAACTACTGAGTTGAAAAGTATACATTTACAACATTTTTTACGTAAAAAATGTCTCTTGGTAAAAATCGCTACCAGTAATGATTCTCGAGATATTTGTAATTGAAATTATCAATACCTGTCATCATTGACATAAATTAAATATGTTGACTGAATAGTTATTAGACTGAAATCATAAATTTGGAATGTTTTTGTGTCAAAAGTTCAACAGAAACTGTTTTATTTATTAATTTATGATTAACTTAAAAAATTAAAAAGTTACCAAATTTATCATTTCAGTCAAATAACTATCTACTCAGCATGTTTATTTTTTGTTAATAATTACATGTATTGACTATTTCCATTCTAAATATCTTGAGAACGGTTGCTCGTAGCGATTTTTACCAAGAGACATTTTTTATGTAAAAAATTACGGAAATGTATATTTTTTCACTCGGTAGTTTTATACAGGTACAGACAAAAAGTTATTACTCTTCAAAACAGTTAAAACACATGTAGGTGGCGCCCTCTACAATTAGGAGTCATATTGATATTGAAATCAAATTTCTCATGTCAAAAAAACTCCAGGCACCAATTTTCATCCAGATATTAGCGTTACTTCAGAAATTATTTGGAAAAAATCGAAATAAAAATGATATTTCTAACTAAGTATTTCGGACATATATTTATACGAACTTTTTTACTTATTTTTAACTGGGGAATATGTTGCCAAAGTTTCCGGAATAACAGTTCGGACCACCCTGTATTTTAGATAGAAAATGTTCTCTTTATCCATTCAATTTTAAATCCTTTCTAATCTGTTCGCCGCAGCATACTAATTGGTTTCATCTTCATCACTTTACTGATATTAATTTTCTTAGACGTACAATAGATACCATAAGGTACGAGGACTTGAAGTTGTCGCCGAGTCTGACAACTCTGCAAATGATTTATTAATTTGACGAAACGAGTATAGCCCTAAAATTGTGTTTGAATTCAATAGGGAATATCTTCGAATGTCCCGACGTGCAATAATTTCACTTAATGGATTTAAGATTGAGACGCACGCATACCGTGTGCCTTACAGCTGCATTCCGAGAACCCTTCACATTTTTGCCATTTAAAATTTTACCTATAAATTTTGATTTGTATATTGTATATTGTATGCTAGTTTTTGGTTTAAATGAAATGTGTTCTGATATTTTAAGCTTAACATTTTTTACTAGGAGACCCTGCAGTCAAATATTGTTCTTTTAAGAATCTCTTTTAGTGCAAAGTGTAGAGAGCTTAATAGCCGTAAAAAACTCATCGCAACTTAGAATATTTTCAACGGAAAAACGGTAGTAATGGCCCTTCATGTCCCTTAGATGCTGTTAAGAAGGTGTTTTGTTGATGTAAATAATAACTGTTTATATATTTATAGTTAATTTGTTTCCTAAAATAGTTTTTTATTAAAAGAAAATATGTAAAAGTGGGCAACGCTGTGCCGGTTAAGCTTAATCACGTGACTTAAAGTTTATTTGATATGAACTATATTTTCAGGTTTCTTCGTTAAAAATTAATACTTCGTTAATAATACATGTTGCGAATTTAGTTTTTTTTCTTTCTTTATTCTCAAACGTAATAAGTCCTTTATTGACCTGCTATTTTTGAAATTTTTAACATTATCTTCTTTTAATTATGATAATACTTGAAGATATGGGTACATTTTCATTTAAAGGATGCGATTTTACCGACTTAATGGTGCAAATCTTAAATAAGAACATTACTTTACAAGAATAAATGTAACAAAGAATTATATCAAAGTTATGTAAATGCAGACAATAAGTTTGCTAATTTAGATAATATAGAACTAGTATGCATTCTAGAACGCAGTGGTATGCTATGTCTCAGGGAAGGGCTATAGCAATTAATTTAAGACTGTTTGCTCAAGTCCTTGATATCATGTTCTGTCTTCTACATGTCGGGGAGCTTGTCTAAGAATTCATAGATAAATTAATTCTAGAGAGTGTTTGAATTGACGTTTATATATTAAAAGTTAGTATGTAAAGTGTGAATTTACCATTTTTTTAACTTGAGATATGGCTTATAAGTATGGAGAGTGTTAATAAAATATTTTTTAATATGGAATTATTATATTTCTATATTTTTATTCTTTTACTCTTTAAACCATTAAGTGTTTTACTTTGATTAGGAAAATGTGTGTACCAGAACCACTTAGAAACAGCAAACAGTCAATTAATGTAGTTTGAATACTGCCATCATATTAATTGGTCCTCTTTAACAAATATTTAAACAGTTTTTTTTTATTTTTAAAGAAATAAGCGAATTATATCGACAATATTAGATTTTTATACTCTTCGAAAATTTGTTACCTCTAATCTAAAATGTCAATAATCCATGGGTATATTGATAACTGAGGTCTAAATTATAAGAAAATGCATTTTCTACGAAAACTTGAAGAGATAGGTAAAAAATGGTATGATACAAATTGATAGACAATTAAATTGTGCATCTGATTCTCGTAAAATATACAAGGTGTTCTATTAATTAAAAAGAAGTTATTGCCTTTTAAATCTACAGGGTGGTCGAACTGTATTCGGAAACTTCGGCAGCATTCTACAGATCAAAATAAGTAAAATAGTTCGTATAAATGTATGTCCTAAAATGCTTAGTTTTGGAGATACAGGGTGTAAGTTTCATTTTATTTCGATTTTTTCAAATAATTTCTGAAGTAACATCAATATTTGGATGAAAATTGGTATCTGGGAGTTTTGTGACACGAGAATTTTGATTTTGATGTCAAAATTACTCCTATTTGTAGGGGGCGCCACATACATGTGTTTTAACTGTTTTGAAGAGTAATAACTTTTCGACCGTACCTGTATAAAACCACTGACTAAAAAAATATACATTTCCATGAATTTTTATGTAAAAAATGTCTCTTGATAAAAATCGCTACGAGCAACCTTTCTCAAGATATTTAGAATGAAAATAGTCAATACATGTCATTATTGACAAAACATAAGCACACCTTATTTGACTGAAATCATAAATTTTTATTTTTATTTAATTAATCATAAGTTTCTCTATGAAAAAATGATGATTTAACAGTTTCTTTTGAACTTTTGACACAAAAAGATTTCAGTCTTATAACTATTTAGTCAACATGTTTAATTTATGTCAATGATGACAGGTATTGATAATTTCGGTTCCAAATATCTCGAGAACCATTACTCGTAGCGATTTTTACCGAGACCTTTTTATGTAAAAAAAAATCGCAAATGTATATTTTTTACTCAGTAGTTTTATGCAGGTACCGACGAAAAGTTATTACTCTTCAAACTAGTTAAAACATATGTAGGTGGCGCCACCTACAAATGGGAGTCATATTGACATCAAAATCAAATTTCTCATGTCAAAAAACACCCATCCACCAATTTTCATCCAAATATTGACGTTACTTCAGAAATAATTTGGAAAAAAATCGAAATTCAAATGAAACTTCTACACCCTGTATCTCCGAAACTAAGCATTTTAGGACATACATTTATACGAACTTTTTTACTTATTTTAATCTGCAGAATATGCTTCCGAAGTTTCCGGAATACAGTTCGGACCACCCTGTATATACTGCCATTACTCGCTGACGAGTATTTGACACGCATCAGAAGATGGTCACGAAAGGCGTTTTCTTGCATGAGCTTTTCTCTATGAGCTCTCATGAGATTCTCTTTTAAATTTAGTAATTATTTAAAATAAATTTTTAGTCACTCTGTATAAGGTAAAAGTAGTATAATTTTTATTATTGCAACACAAAATTTAGTAAATAGAAAAACTTCACAATATTTGGTTTTAAAAACTTAAATACGTCTAGAGAAATGAAGTATTAAAATTATTACTGTATTTTGACAAAAACGTAAATATTTCAAAAATGGGAAGATTAAATTTTTTAAACCTTAATCAAATTTACCCTTATTTTAATCGTAGAAACTCAAAATGTAATAATATACAGGGTGTTCTATTTAAAAAAACACACAATTTTGATATTTTTTATTTATTTGGGACACTCTGTATCTTGTAAAAATATTCTCTAGTAGTCTTTCAACGAACCCAAAACTTACAATTTGTAAAAATCTAATCGTTTAGCTGCGATACTCCGTGTCGTATGTTGTAAATAACCCTATATTATTTCAAGATTTTCTTCTAATTCGTATTCGTTTTCTTTTTCAGATTACATTATGTCATCGACGCAAGAAGCTCATGTAATCCAATCCAGCAAAACAAAACTTTCACCACTAGATCTTAGGAACACTGATCTAGTATCAAGATTGCTTGCTGCCACTCCTCCATATCTGTACAACATGTCTTTATTGTCAAATACATATTTCTTTAGCGAAATGTTACGATCATTTGTGCAAGCTAAGAATGACCAGAATAATCAACGTAATACTCTCGGATTCACAGGTGCGTTAACAAATTTAGCATTATTTTCAGATTACATTAAAATTTTGGATTAATAGGAAATCAGAATATGTATTTTGGTCAGCCACCCCGAAGATCCAAGAAACGTACTTGGGGTAATATTGGACGAGATATATTTCCCAAAAGCTCTAGCTCTGTCGAAATCAAAACTGACAAATCTAATGATAAAAATGATAATAACGAACCATGGATGATAAAAAGCATGCGAAAATCTGAAGATGTTGCGGTAGAGTTAACGCAAGAACATATACACGGTCAACAAGTATGTTTTTGCAATATTTAATTAAATACTGGCTAAATTACTGCCGGTCCACACACGGCAAAATGCTATGGTTAACTTGACAAAAATCGATATTACAATTTTTTTTCGTATGTTCATCCACTCACTGTCGTTTTTATAAAATTTGTGGACCTAATTTTAAATATTACAATTTTTTCCGAGCAACTATAACGGTGCAAGCGCTACCGAAAGTTGATGGAGTCACTTTCTGGGAAGCACAAACATGGAGCGCAAAGGAGTGTCATTTACACCCAGCGCAGCCATTTGAAAATTAATTATAATTATGGACAATATAGCTACAGACATGTAGTACAATTAAATAACATCAATATAATAAATTTGAATTGTTTTGAATATAGATAAAATATATTTGAAACACACTATTTTGGGTTGATTTTTTTATAATTTTATTTTCATAATGAGTTCTACGGATTAGTAAAATCAAAATCGCTAATGTATGGTTGATACAGGTATAAAAAATCAGCTTTCCCAAATCTGCCTTTTTTGAAAAAGCCTTTTATTTGCTGGGAGTCGTACTGATTTCTATACCAGTCCTGCAATATCAAGAAAGGATTTTTTTTTTAGTTTTTAACAAAACAGATATTCTAAATTATGAATTTCTTAGTTTATTACAAGCTTTTTTTCGTATATTATTGACAGTAGAAAAAATTCAAATGGCTGTGCTGTGTGTAAATGACACTCTTTTGCGCTCCACGAAAGCAAAGGTGCGAACAGCATCAATTTTCGGTAATGCTTGCACTACTCTAGTTCAAAGGAAAAAATATATTATTTAAAATTAGCCCTATAAATGTAATAAGAAAAACAATATGTGGATAAATATACAGAAAAGAATAATCTGGAGCTGAGTTTTTTTATAAACTTTAGTATTTGGTTTATTAAACAGGGTTAATTGAAGGCTTGGTTTTTATCCTAATTTTAAAACACCCTGTGCAATAATGTTGCAAGTAACTTTTCCTAAAGCATTATTTTTCTATCAGAACCATGTTCTCCAAGGACCAAGCGCATATTCATAATTTTGGCTATCTTCAACAAGATCAATGACTTTTGTACAATCTTCCACACTAAGTACCATATTCAATCGTACACAATAATAATCACCAAAGCCCGTTATTATGAAGAATAACATCAAAAAGTAAGAATAATTGAAAAAATTGCGAAATGTTTGTGGCAAGTTCATTTTGCTCTTAAAAATTAACCATGGCATGTGTTTACATGAGTCAAAAAGCAAAATATTCAGGAGACATGGTTCTGACTGAAAAATATTTTTTTTGGAAAATTTGCTCACGAAATTATTGCACAGGATGTTTTAAAGACATGGTAAAAAAACTACTTTTCGATTAACCCTGTATAATAAGTCAATTACTAAAATTTATAGTAAACTGAGTTTACGAATTAAAGTTGATATATTTATATACAGTTTGCTAAAAAAATCAAGAAAATAAAGCTGAAAATAAAAAGGACATAACATTTTAAACATGACCAAACATTTTTCCGTTGCGTTATTTTTTGCATCTGAGAGTAGAAATATTATGTTGCCGGATGACGGTATTCTCTTGTATTATGTTACAGTGAAAGTCGGATTCAGGGATTGTTAACATTCACTAGGAAATGCTAGCAATTACGCATTGGATCAGTGAATGTGGTATTTTAAAGAGATTTGTCGATTTTTCCTAGTAATTATCTAACATTTACTAGTGATAGTGTATATTATAATACATTTTAATAATAAACAAATTCCAATAGTCATATAGAGGTCAAAAAATATAAAATACAATCACAAAACAAATTAAAAGGTTAAATTTTTTTTTAAAGTTATTTCTATCACAATTATTCAATCACAGATAACATTATGGCAAGCTCAGTTTGAAAATTAAAATCACAAAGGGCAATAATTTAAGTTCAACAAAAAACGAAAAAACTTCAAGAAACCTCACCTGGAAAGTTCTTGAAGTTTTTTCGTTTTTTGTTGAACTTAAATTTTTGCCCTTTATGATTGTAATTTTAAAACGTTCTACGTCTTCCGATGCCATCTCTCCATGCCTGTCTGTCTCTCCATGCACCGTCTCCGAGAGATCTTTCCTCCATAAACGTGTCAATCCCTTCCTGCCAACTTCTTCTCGGTCTACCCGGTTTTCTTCTTCCTGCAGGTTTCCAGTTTATAATTTGCTTTGGGATTCTTATTTCTGCCATTCTTTGGACATGCCCGTACCATATGAGTTGACTGTTCTTTATGTCGTCCACTATCGTATGTTTAACTTCCATAATCTCTCTTATGCGTTCATTAGTTATTCGCTCGAGTCTTGATTTGCCTGCTGATCTTCTCCAAAAATCCATCTCTGTAGCTTCCAGCATTCGTTTTGTTGTTTCCTTAATTGGCCAGACTTCACAGCTGTACGTGGTTATACTCTTTATGATGGTATTGTATATTAGAGTTTTGTTCTTGTTGTTTATGCTTCTGTCCCACAGTATCCCATTCAATACCGTGATAGCATTCCTTCCAAGTTGGTTTCGTTCTTTAATTGCTGTATCCAACAGTCCATCATTTGTGATTTGCATACCCAAATATTTGTATTTTGTGCAGTACCTTCTTCTAGTATCAGATCTTGTTGTTCTCCTCCGATACACATATATTCTGTTTTGTTAGTATTGATCTCTGATTTTTGCTAGTATTGATTTGTTTATTATTCTGATTGTAATTATTTTAGCTTTCTGGACTAAAAGTCCCGAAACATGTCGCTACCCTTTTTTTTTGAAACAAATTAAATTTAAATAAACATCTTAAAAGATTGTGAGTTTTTTGTCCCCTACCCCTCGTCAGAGGTTTTACTTTTAAAAGTTATTCTATTGTACAGGGTGAGTGTGGTGAGGAAGAATGTTGGTGGAAGTTAAAATAAATAAAACTTGTAAGAATATTGGATCACCCCAATATTCAAGCTGATAAACATATCTTAAAATAACCAACTACAATTTACTTCTTTAGTATATTTATTAAAAATATAGAAAACATAGAAAACATTTTAAAGCGTACAAAACAATAAAAAAACATTCATAAACATAAGATTACTTATTGGTACAACGTATTGCCTATTATTCAACTTATCCTTAATTATCCTTATAGTTTACAACATGTGGCAACCGCGGGAACTGAATCTTTCAAACTCAGTGATATCTTCCAGGGAATGATATATAGCATTCACTACTAAAAGTTGGATTGAAAAATAGCTGTTGAACTTTTACTGGTGTAGTCTTAGCAAATCAGTGTATGTGAGCTTTTACTAGTAACTGTTAACAATCACTGATTGCCAACTTTTACTGTAACGTATATACTAACAATACCGCCGGCGCCGGCTGTTGTTTATCTAGTGCGTTAATTAAAAGTAGTGAAAATGTCTTTATTCAAATATAGTTTGCAGAACATGGGGAAAGGAAGACTCCAAAAATCGAAGAACAATCCACTCAATACGCCCCTCAGCCAGAAAACTCAACTAACCTAGTTTTGCCACCACCACCACCATTCTGGTATCCACCTATTTATTCAAATACACCCTACGGAATCGATCCCCTGCATTTTTTTATCGATTTGCGAGTTTCGGGCCATATTTACGATAGACAAAACGCCAATTACTTCAAAGATTCCGTTAACAACACAAACGACACAACCAGTACGGTTGTTAGTGAAAAACAAATAGAGAAAACTGACTTTCAAGAAAAAAACGTCAAATCTGAAGAACCGCATACGGATTTTTTCAAGCAACGACGTAACACGTCTGCGTTTTCAGTACCAAATGCCAATACACTAATGAAAAATCGTTCGAGCGAGAAGTTTCAAAAAAGCTTTGACGTTAAAGCTATGGGTTTCGATAAGACACCGAATCCAACCGGTATAAACTACGTTATGGGTAATATCAATAAAATATATAAAAAACTAAATAACACTCAGCAATGTTCGTCCAAACAGGAGGCCAGTATTAGTCCAAATAACCAAACAGATTTAGATGACAATGCGTCGGCCAAATTTACAGAAAATAATCTAGAAACCACAAGAAATGATGAAAAAATTAATGAGAGAATGCGGAAACGGAAGCTGAAAAGGAAAAAGAGTCAAAAGATTTAAGGGCTTTGATTGGTTTAGAATTAGTTGTTGATTATATGAGTCATAAGAAACCTTTACCGCTTTCCAATCAGGATTCTTCGTACTCTGAAGGGGAAGCTAGTGCTTCGGAAATTGAAAGTATTGGTAGTCCACCACTTGAAGTTGTAGATATCCAGGATGATGCTTAGGCCATGTTAATCTAAATGTCATATTTATCGTAAAGTTGTTAAAACGTGTAGCACTTTGATACTCCAAAAGGTTTTAAAACTGAAGTATAACAAAATCAGATTGCTTTTAGAGAAGTAGTCAAAATATATATCTATAAAGATTTCTTTTCTTTATTTTTTGATATTAATTTTTTTAAAAGACTGCTAATGTTGTGTTAGATTTTTATCCTTTGTCCATTATTTTTTTTTCTTAGAATATTTGATTTGATTCATGTTAGTTATACAGGGTGGCCCATCGAAAATGTTCCGCAAGGCATAACGGCCAGGGTATTTTTTTTCAGAAAATTCAAAAACACGTCAATTTTGTTTGTGAGGGGGACAACTTTTGCCCCAAAAATGATTGCAAAATCTTTAACCCTCTCAGCGGGGGTGTCATACCCCAATTTTTTTCAAATGGGAAGGGGGGTCAAGTGGTACCGCAATGAAAAGGGCTTTCTATTCTCTATACTTTCCCGCTTCGTTTTTGAATATTGGTCGAGTCATTGAGAAAATATGAAGGATTGAAATTTGAAAAGTTTATTTAAACATTTATAAGAGTAAATGATAAGGATAAATTCCTTCAACCAAGTTGTTGTTTTTTCTTATTATTTCTAGATGTTTACGCATTTTTTCACTTGTCACAAGGTTGAACGATCAGGTGCGGTAGTTGCTAGATAGCTGTTTTGTGACTTGTGCGTTGAAGTTATTCTCAATGTCATTAAACTTTTTAACAATTATGGTGAACTCACTTGCAGGAAAAGTGGAAATAATTAGCCAATGAAACCGGCGTGAATCGTACAAGTGTCCAAAGGATATTGAATTTTTTTTTTAGAATTTAGAATGAGTGGGAGGGGGTTAATCACTTCGACCTTACAGATCCATTGTGTCCCCCTCTCTTGAATCATAACTCATCTATACAGTCCCAGGGCTTTCACAAAAAGCCAGTATCTGGGACGGTTTTATAGAGGGTAGTTCTCCATCTCCAATATCAGTCGTACCAAAGTTCATGGCACGAATGGTTGTCGTCTCGGCGCACTCAGTGATGAGGTGTACTGGTGTTTCCCCATCTTCCCCACAGAATCTGCATTCGCCGTTTCTTCTTAGTTTCAATCTACTGAGGTGTTCATTGAGGAGACAGTGTCCTGTTAAAAACCCCGTGACAATCCGAAGATTGTTCTTACTCAGACCCAGGAAGATCTGTGATTTTTCTGGATATTAAAAAAACTCAAGTTCCACCCGTACAAAATTCAGTTCGTACAAGAACTCAACGAAGACGGTTTTGATCGTCGCTTGCAATTTTGTGAAACTATGAGTGAACGAGTGGCGAATGATAATAATTTCCTATTTAATGTGTGTTTTTCGGATGAGTGTACTTTCTTTTTGAACGGTGTAGTTAATCGGCACAACTATCGGCACTGGACAACCCCAGGGTTTTTCACGCGGTGCACACACAAAACCCTCAGAAATTCAACGTGTGGGTTGGTATTTTTGGAAATTCTATTGTAGGTCCTTTTTTTCTTCCTGGAAATCTAACAGGTGATATGTACTTGGATTTACTGGAAAATGCCATCGACCCAGCTCTAACTGACATCATAGAGAACAATTCTGGATACGTTGAAGCGGAACTAATAACCAGACGGTGCACCTCCACATTACTCTCAAAATGTGCGTAATTATTTAAACAATAACTTTCCCGGTCGGTGGATAGGTCGAAGGGGTGCAATTGAGTGGTCTCCCCGGTCACCCGACTTGACTCCTTTAGACTTTTTTCTATGGGGACATATAAAAAGTAAAGTGTAGAGCACTCCACTCGCCTCATTAGAAGACCTGCGAAGACGAATTATTGATGTTTGTCGCGAAGTGACCCCGCAAGTTCTTCAGAATGTTCGAGAACGGTTTGAAAATAATTTGTATTACTATATGGAGGGTTGACGGGCAATATTTTCAGCGTTTGCTACATTAATAAGGTAAATTTTTTAAATTAATTCAATTTATGCGTTTTTATGCAAAAAAGTACTTTTCAAATTTCAATTCTTCATATTTTCAAAATGACTCGACCGATTTTTAAAAACCAAGCGGGGAAATATAGAAAATAGAAAGCCCTTTTCATTGCGGCGCCATTTGACTCCCCTTCCCATTTGAAAAAAGTTGGGGAATGGAATAGCTTAGAGGGTTGCCCCGCTTAGAGGGTTGAAGATTTTGCAATCATTTTTGGGGCAATAGTTGTCCCCCTCACAAATAAAATTGACGTGTTTTTGGATTTTTTGAAAAAAAAACCCTGGCCGTTATGCCTTGCGGAACGTTTTCGATGGGCCACTCTGTACAAGGGTTATGCTTTTGAGGCAGAGATGAATTTTAAAGAAAGTTTACATTTTTGTTTTCATTAAGAATTTGACACATTAATATTGATGTAAGTGGATACCGTCCTGTTTTATTCTATTTAATTTAAATCCTTTTTTATTTATCAATTTCTTTATATTTTATTTATTTTGTCTGCGGTATTGGATAGAAACTGACTGTGAATATAGTTAAAATTAAGTTTTGTTTATCCTTGCTTGATTTTTATTAATAAAAAGGTATGCTATAAATGTGGAAGTGCATATCAGTCGTCGATGATGTATTTATATAGATACAGGGTGTTTAAAAAAACATGTGCAATTTCTCGTGGGGAGATGCCTCACGTAAAAATAAGATTTATTTTTCATATCAACATAGGTCCGATTCTGCTTTGTTTCGTAGGTACAGGGTGTTAAAGTCTTAATAAGCTTTCGGTTTATTATTTATATAATTTTCTTCCAAGTACTTTTAGTGATTCGAATGAAATATTGAGGGTAAAAGTTACTATAAGTGCTACATATTTTAATGCTAAAAAAGTGTCGTTAAATTCATCAGGGACGTGCATATGGGTTATCACTGGAATATTTTTCAAAAAAAACATGTGCGCCACTGACTTTTTTCTTTAGATATCAAAATTGTGTAGGCCGTTTAATGCCAATTAAAAGTTATTTCTTGATTTTTTGTTGAATTCGGCCTCTTTGATGAGATAGTCCAACTTACAGTTCAGATAGTCCAACTTACAATTTCAAATAAAAAAATAATGATATTTAAGATAACTACAACCTAATCTTAAAAAGTTGATGAAGAATCAATGAGTACTCATTTTGAAACTTTTACAAGTTAATGATATTAAAATTTTTCTAAAGGTTGCTATTAGACCTGGATCAAGGCAAATTAATAAAATTGCGTTTATCTCATCAAGGAGGCCGAAATCGACAAAATATCAAGAGGCAACTTTTAATCGGCATTAAACCGCTTACACTATTTCGCAAGAGAAAAAAGTCAATAGCATACATGATTTTTTTAGGAAAATATTCTAGTGATATTCCATATGCACGTCCCTGGTGAATATGTCGACACTTTTTTAGCATTAATATATGTCGCATTTATAGTAACTTTTACCCTCAAAATTTCATTCGAAACGCTAAAAGTACTTGGGAGAAAATTATAATAAATCGAGAAAATATTAGACTCTAACACCCTGTAGCTACAAAATAAATCAGAATCTATCTATGTCTATGTTGATATGAAAAATAAATTTTATTTTTTACGTGAGGAATCTCCACACCAGAGATGGTACATGTTTTTTAAACACCCTGTATACGTAACTGTTCTAAATGTTCTTCAGATGCTAGTTAAACAAATATTTTTTCACTTATATCGATTTTTTTAAATGTCCTATTGTTTCAAAATAAAAATACTGGAAATATTAACAATTTAAGAGAGTTTAAATCTCTTTGTTTTACCTAAGAATTCCTAGTATATTGTCTTGATCTCAATAGTATCATCTAATTAGATTTTGTTGATGATCGATTTTTAGAAACACCATTTATTTTAAGCTAATAAATAAAAATAAGTACTTAATAAGCATTAAATTAAATACTTTTTAATTAGTTTAATATTTTATTGAATTTAAACACAATTAATCTAGTCAATGTTGATGTAACTATAATCTGTATTAAAATTAATTATTTGCATCTTTGGATTTTATTTCGTAAGTGGTGAAATCTATGGTATTAAGTAGTTTAGTTAGTTTTAGTAGTTTTGCGGCGTGACTCTCACTGCTTTAATAAAGCGCACAAGTGTAATTGACACATGTTACAGGGTGCAGCAAGGTCTACCCTTTTGTCCACACTCTTTTCATTATTAAATCTTCACTGTGGTTGTAATAAGGGGTGACTTGTCACCGCCATAGATCCCATTGAGCCTATCGCTAATTTGAAATATCTTATTGGCAAGTATGTTTTAGAGGGAGTATGCAGGGTGTCCCAGGCTGAGCGTTTATTATAGGTTTCTAGAAAACTATAATATCTAGATCGGGGATTTTTTGCACATAATTATTTCACAACGAGATATATCGATTAAAAATATTTTCAATATGGCGACACTTCAGTAAATACCGTAAGTTGACAGCAACTTCCTTATTTTAAATGGGTACCCTTATCTTTTATTGCATACTTAAATTATTTGTAAAATTTTATGAATTTTGATGTCAAACACTCTATACCTAACATTAACCGTTTTTAAGAAAAAAAAATATTTAAAGTTTGTGGAGGAAAAAAGTGCCTGTCAAAAAAATGTCAAAAACCTAAACGTCAAATTTAGTGATTACCACCATAAAATAATTAACTAGAAAGAAGTGTCAACTCTGTGTTAAATCGTGGAAACACGATACGCTTCGTTGTCGTC